ACGAAGGCATATCCCGCGAGGGCGGAGAACCCGACAGGACCTCCCACGAGGCCAGCCGCAACGGCCCCTCCCAATCCAGACAGACCAGGCTCAAACAGCCAACCTTTCCATTTCAATGTGCTCGCGCAGCTGAAGAGCATCCCTACGCGAATCATCATGTACGATCTCCTACGGCTATCCAAGCCTACCCGGGAAGCTCTGCAAGAGGCACTGGCCGATTCGGAGGTTTTCTCCACACACTTCTCGAGGGAAGAGGATGCAGAACAGGAATGTGCAACGTGTTGCCAAACGTCCGAGAGACGAGTCCCGTGCATCACTTTCACTCCGGAGGACATGCTCATCAAGAGCACATCTCATGACCGACCACTATACTTCACGGGGTACGTTGGTTCGTCAAAGGTGGATCGAATTCAGGTCGACCCAGGTTTTGTGTTGAGTATCATGCCTTTAAAATTAATCAAACACTTGGGGATACCACCAAAGTGCCTATCCTCGACCACGACGACCATCTTTGACTTTAACGCCACGGGGACTCGGCCACTCAGCAAAATCCGCCTGAAATGTCGAATAGGCGACATGAAGACGGAGGTGACCTGCTACGTCATCGATGCCGAGCCTTCCTACAACATACTCCTAGGACGTCCATGGATCCATGACAACCGAATAGTCCCGTCCATGTTACACCCATGCCTAAAGTATGTGGACGATTTACGAGCAAGTGAAGACGGTGGTGGCCGACAAGCAGCCCTTTAAAGACGTTGAAAACTACTTCACGGATTCTCTGCTATACCAAGACCCCGACGAGCCACCGGCAGAGGAGCTAGAGAGCGGCAACGAGGCAGACAACGAGCCTGAGTACGGTGACAACCTAATCCTGAATGACTTCGAGTCAATTGTAATCGGTTATGAGAGTCACAATGTAACCAACGCTGTTCAGGCGGAGGAAATTATCATGAATGAGAAGTCCAACTTTGCTTATTTGTCGTCTTGTTCCACATCCGAGGATGATGCGTCCAATAACCTATGGTCAAAACTCTACAGTGATCCTTCCCTGCACTTGCCAGTATGCTCGTTATACGTAGTCAAGGCACAGCCGATCAAGTCATCGCAAGCGGTGCTCGTCGTGCTAGCCCGGAATAATTATCGAAAAGATATTATCTTCGGTCGAATCGATCATCCCCTACGCACGCTATGGGATGAATCTGACGATGAGGACCCAGCGCCCTAGTTTTCGCAATACAGTCAAGTTGCGAAGCGCATGATGAGCGACATAGGGTATGACCTCACTCGTTTAGAGGGCCTGAATTACGGCCGAGGGCGCAAAATGGTCATCCGACCCGCTTACGTACCCAAAGGGAAACCCTCAAATTACTTCAACAGGACTCAGAGAGGCTTAGGTTACTCCTCCTCCTCGTCGAATTTGTGTTTTTACGTCAACGAGGATTCCGACTATGCGTGTTCGGGGGATCAATCATCAATAACCTCGGCATGGGACTCAGATGTCAGCGTGAGGGATTTGTTCGATAGCCTTACGGTCAACATGGCTACGATGGACCCTGCCAAAATGGCGGAGGATGGACAAGTTCCACTTTATGACGAGACGTGGAATCGCCATGTTAACGCCCAGTGGAACAGTCGCTTTGAGCAACGTGAACCACTAACTAAAGATGAAATCCTCCAGGTGAACATGGGTAGTGAGGCGAATCCCAAACCCATATTCATCAGCGGCAGTTTACCTCCCCAGGAAAAAGAGGACCTCATTCCCCTCGTACGGGAATATATTAACGTCTTCGCATGGAATTACGAGGACATGCCCGGCCTGGATCCGCGGGTCGCCACGCATCGCCTCAACAACAGCCCAGACGCCAAACTAGTCAAGCAACAGCAGAGACGGTTTCTCCCTCAAATCATGGAAGCAATCGAGGCCGAAGTGAAGAAACTGATTGAATCCGGTTTCATCAGGGAAGAACAACACCCCGACTGGGTGGCCAATATTGTTCCAGTCTTGAAGAAAAACGGTAAGATTCGTATCTGCATCGACTTTAGGGACCTTAATGCTGCGTGCCCCAAAGACGAATTTCCCCTGCCCATCATGGATGTCATCATTGACAACACGTGCGGATTCGAAAGGATGTCCTTCATGGATGGTTTCTCGGGGTACAATCAAATCAAAATGCACCCCGAGGACGAGAAGCACACTTCATTCAGAACTCCCATTGGGGTGTACTGCTACACCGTTATGCCCTTCGGACTGAAAAACGCTGGCGCAACCTACCAGCGCGCCATGAGTATGATCTTTCGAGATCATCTGTGAAAAACGGTCGAATGCTACATGGACGACCTGGTCGTGAAGAGTCGTCGTAAGGAGGACCACCTCCAAGACTTGAGGATAATGTTCGAACTCATGAGGACTCATCAACTCAAGATGAATCCTACTAAGTCATTCTGAGGGATGTCTAGCGACAAATTCCTCGGCTTCGTCGTCACGATGAGAGGAATCCGGATCGACCCAGACAAGGTGCGGGCTATTCAAGAGCTTCAACCGCCCCGAAACCTTAAAGAGCTAAGAGGCCTTCAAGGACGATTGGCTTACATCCGTAGGTTCATCTCAAATCTTTCGGGCAAGTGTCAACCATTCGCCAAGCTAATGAAGAAAGGTACTTCCTTCGTGTGGGACGAGCCGTGCCAAAAGGCCTTTGAAGAAATCAAGGCTTATCTCTCAAACCCGCTTGTCCTTGCGGCGCCGATCTTAGGAAAGCTGTTCCTCATCTATATACGGGCTATGGATCACTCTCTAGGCGCCCTCTTAGCACAAAACGACGATGCGGGCCACGAGCAAGGCATCTACTACCTGAGCAGAACCTTGCAAGGTGCCGAACAGAGGTACCCAATGATCGAAAAGGAATGTCTAGCCTTAGTGTTCGCCATCCAAAAGATGCGGTACTACCTGGTTGGCCAGACAATTCACGTTATTTCCCGGATGAACCTCATCCGAGTGTTCATGACACAACCGACAGCGTTGAATTGGCATTTGGCAAGATGGGCACTCCTACTATCTCAGTATGACATCCATTTCATGCCACAAAAGTCGGTCAAGGGGCATGCCATCTGCGATCTTATGGCTAGTCATCCGCTGAGGGCGAAGACCGACCTATTTGAAGATCTGCCAGATGAACCCCTCGAAGCCAATGTAACTTCGTCACCAGAGGTGTGGCAGATGTTCTTCGATGGCGCGTCTCATGTAGGCATGAGAGACTCTATTGTCGTAGGAGTGGGGGTGGTCCTCACCTCTCCGCATGGCCATGTATTACCCCGAGCCTTTTCTTTGACAGAACCGTGCACCAACAACATGGCTGAGTACAACACATTACTCATAGGGCTCGAGTTGGCCAAAGAGTTAGAGATAAAGCATCTGGAGGCTTACGGCGACTCCCAACTCATCGTTAAGCAAATGACTGGCGAATACGAAGTCAGGAACGACGATCTCATCCCGCTCCACAAAGTGGCTATCAAACTAGTAGGGTCATTCGAGAGTTTCCGCATTGAGCACGTGCTCCGTTCTAAGAACATGCATGTGGATGCTCTTGCATCCTTGGTGGCTAACTTGGCCCAGCCTTTAGGAACGACCCAACGGGTCACGGTCGCCAGCCGAAGACTCTTCTGACTGAAAGACGTCCCAGAGGTGAACGCCACCCATCAAACCCCGGATCAGCCCGATCAGGAAGACTGGCGTCTCCCGATCATCGATTACGTTCTATAGACGCAAAGGAATGAGAGTCTGTCCGACGACGCG